ATACTATCAACACATTCCTTTATCGTAAGTAAGTGAACACTATTTAATGATCAACACAAACAAGACACAATTAAACAAATCAGAAAAAAAATCTGATACAACTATGACATTAGAAGATCTGACGCACACAGTTGTACCAGTATTTTCGAAAAATAGGTTTAGGGACTATGGCATTTATTATTTACAATGAAGGTACAGATGATGAAAAAGCTAATTTTTTTGAACATGCTAACAGCAGCATGCACTACTAAAATTCACATACAAGAAATCACAAACTAAAATGCAGTTTTTAGATGTGTTGGTATTCAAAGGCCCAAGATTTAGAGAAACAGGCATCTTAGACCTCACGACATTCCGAAAAAAACAAAAATGAAAATTATCAGTACTTAGAGAGGTCCTCATGCCATCCATCCTCTACTTTCAGAGGCATGATTAAAGGAGAAATGCTTCGCTTTAAGAGGTGTACGAACGATCCTGTAGATTTACAAAAACAATACGCGTTAATTTCTGAACGCCTTATTAAAAGAGGATATAAAGAAAATGAAATTAAAACTGTTATGCAGGAAGTGACTGCAAAACAAAGAAATGACACATTATTGGATAAACCCAAATCTGTATTACAGTCGTCTCCCTTAGTATTCTCCACAGTGTTTTCAGGAAAATGAAATTAATACAATCTACACCTTATTTCACAGTACGCAAGCAGTATTAGAGTAAGTATATATACAAAACTATACAATCACAATAAATACAAGTGTATAGATATACACTCACACACAAAATCAATAATTGACAATGCAATACAACTATATAAACACGAGTGAGGGGGAAGATTATACTACATAAACAAGAGAAAGTCCAAAGAACGAACCAGATTCTTTATCGGAAACAGATGAAAAAGAGCAAATTATACCTATACTTTCCCAATTTTCCAATAAACAGAAAACTAATTGTGGTTTGAAGATTTGAACAAAACTATATTTGACATCAGAGGATCTGACGCCAACGTAATTGTAGGATTAAATATTGTCCGCCATGAAATTATGTCCACCGGACACTTTTTCGTAGTAAATTGTGTCCACGGACATAATGTTATTATGAAATATCGTCCGAACCATATTTACCTATGAAATCGTGTCCACAGATGTGAAAAAGAAAGGACAATATTTCATATGAAAAAGTGTCCTTCATAGAAAGGACAGTATTTCACACGAAAAAGCGTCCACTCTCAATACCTACAAAAAGTTTACTTGATAAATTATTGCCAATTAATTTTAACATTTGCATTTTACTATCAAAATTATTTACAGGTGCAACAAATCTGTGTCATCAGATTATGTTATTGTGTTTGGTTAACCTACATATTGTTTTTTTAAATTAACTTTCTTTTACCTTTTCTAATTAATTAAATGCTGAATAATAATTTGGGTGTGGCTCATTTGAGTGTCTCTTGTATTTGCTGTCTAGATTTTCCATGTAAGATTTTACCACATTATTTATATCTCTTGGTCAAAGGGAGATAACTTTTTATATTTAACAGTTTACCAAATGTTATTTCTATTTAAGAATTCATGAACAATTCATATTAATAAACTTATTATTTTCGTTCAATTGTCCTAGTACATTTAATATTTGATAATTTTGTGCTTGAAATCATATAATTTTGTAGATAAAAGTTTTTTTGTATGCTATTAATTCAATTGTACATATTTGAAAAATTTACTTTATGTTTAATTATTTTTGACTTGCATACAACATATGAGATGAGATCCAATAAAATATTAGTTAATGTCTGAGCAGCACATTGGTTTTGAAATTAGCAATTATGTTAATGTTTGTTGTTTTTGTTTTTTGCTTTTTGCTTTTTGATGTATTTGTTTTTTTTAGATTGACAAATAATGCTAGCAAGGAAGATTATTCATAAATATTTTTATGATGCCAAACTTGAAAAAAATTGCTTATGTTTGCTATTTGTTATATTGTAATGATTCTGAAACAAGCAAACTTAACTAGTTAGCATGTTGCTCTGCCACATACCATTATTTTATTAACTAGTTTGAATTTGATGTAGAACTGAACTTATTTTAAAAAAAAGTGTATTTTTATATTTGTTTGCATAGTAAAATTGTAGTTCATTGATATAACAAACATTTTGACAGTTGTTTTTTTTTTTATTGATAATCAAAACAACTCTGTTTTGTCAGTATCTGAATAAAATTAATTTGATAAAGACTTTGTTTCTTTTATTGAAGTATATACATAGGGAGATAATTCAAAATTGTTTTTTTATTATTCTAACCTGGTTAGAAGTGATAAAAATAACTATGCCCAAGACAGGATTACAATAAGAAAATACAAGTAATTGTTGTGTATGATTATGCTTTGTCCAAAAGTTTTTGTTATCTCCTGTATTATATATTGTAAAAATCCAAATCACACATAGAGATAGCCTTGTCCTGTAGATTAAATCTAGATTTTGTGTTATTTGTATGTCTTAAATTCTAAACCTTTAAGTTCTTATATAAATTCAGAGACATTGGCATTTTTTACATATAGGTAAAGACATACTTACAAACTGGTATTTCGCTTTGCAAATGAATAACTTATATTCTTTGGATTATAGTTGTAGTTTTATCTTTACAGGCTTCAATGGTACTGACAAATCATACATTTGCACATTGCCATTTGAAACCACAAATATTATTCTACTGTTATTAAACAGAGGAACAATCCATGCCTTTCAAGTCTTATACTTTGTAAATATGGATAAGAAAAGTTGGAGGATCCATGATTTGTTTCAATAGCTTCAAAGTTGTAATCATTGAATTTTCCTTTTTTTCTTTATTTCGGTTTTTTCTTTAATAAGATATTTCCAAACCAGATATTTGAGTTAAAGTAAAAAAAAAACAAAAAAACCCACATATAATTAAATTTAAAAATATTTCATAAATAATCTTGAAATTTATTTGAATTTTTTTTTTTTTATTATACTGGAAATTTAATTCTAATTAAATTCTATGTCTATTAAAATTTAATTTATATTAAAAATTCTTTAAATTTGAAATTTATTCAAATTTAATTTATATTAAAATTTCTTTAAATTTAAAATGTATTGAAATTTAATTTATATTAAAAATTCTTGAAATTTGAAATTTATTCAAATTTAATCTATATTAAAATTCTTTAAATTTGAAATTTATTCAGATTTAAAAATATCTTTAAACTAGGTTGAAATTTGGGAATTTATTTGCTTTATTAAATTTAGTTTAAACTTATGTTAAATTAGAAATTTTCCAGTGAAGTAAATGCATATAATTTTTTTCAATTTGAAATTTAATATGCATAAAATATGCATTTAATTTCATATTAAATGCATCATTTCATGCAGTTGTGCAAACAGCACAAATTTGGAATTCAAAATAAAAAGTGAACCGAGGCTTACCCTTAGTAAAGCTATTTTGAAAGCCAGAATAATGACTGAAACATATATTTTATATCAGTTGATACGATTTTCCAGGGCTTATATGTCCTATCATGATTTCCATGATAGATGGTTGCTGCTTACAATGAGGCTATTAATCCAAGTGTTCCAAAGGTTGATGTTGACCTTACCCCTCCGTACTTTTTAAGGACGCCATCACGAGTAAGTTGGCCATTATGGAATATATGTTTCATAGATGACGAAGGATATGTTTCATTTGTCGTAGCCACAATTAAGCCCTATTTTCCCGGAATGTGACATACCGAATTAGACTTATCACCGGGTGTGTGCGTACATGAGCAACAGAACGGGTCCAACATGTTCAGCAGTATCTGTTTATCATTCAGGATGACCTGGGATCTTCCCCCGGTTTTGCGTGGTTTGTGTTGCTCAGTCTTTTGATTTTTAATATTGTGTTTTGTGTTTTATTTGGCTTTTGGTCTAATGTTTAATGCCATGGCGGTTTCAGTTCATATTCGACTTTGAATGTCCTTTTAGTATATTTCCTCTCTCTTGATAAATCCACCCTCTTTTGTAAAAAACTTTGAAACATGGGTGACGTTGTTTTGCTAATTTTTCAGTCAACGTAGCGTTGTTTTTACTTTTTTTAACTATATAAAAGAAAGTTCTTATAATAATTCCCGTTTATTACATATATTCATTTCACAGTTTAGAAAAGTGTTTGTGCCCATTGATAAATGAAAATTTTAATCATGCATGCAAAGGATATATTTTCTTTGCACCATGAAACCATCCTACCAAATTTGTTTCCAAACAAATATTTGATCATTTTTCATTTTTGTTCAATAAATTTTGTTTACAGGCTTTATTTACACATACCAGTTCAATTAACATACAAACATGGGGCCCTTTATAGCTTGCTGTTCGGTGTGAGCCAAGGCTCTGTGTTGAAGACCGTACATTGACCTATAATGGTTTACTTTCATAAATTGTGACTTGGATGGAGAGTTGTCTCATTGGCACTCATACCACATCTTCTTATATCTATTTTAAAATAATTGTTTTCTTATTCAAAGAAAATAAACTGAAAACTGAATTGTGACTTTTTGTCTTATGACTTTCTGTCCTACATTCTCTTTAAACAACTGTCATACCAGTATGAGGTTTAAAAAGCTTAAAAAACACAGACTAAGCTTACCATTTTCTTAGGAAATGCCTGAACCAAGCCAGCAATATGATAGCTGTTCTGTACACGTTCCGTTGGTTTATGACATTTGATTTTGTCAGTTTCAATGGAGTTCCTCCTTTTTTAATCATTACCATATACTTGAATTGCAAGAAATAATTGTTTCTGTTTTATTGTTCAAAAATGATCCTTATAGCGCTAAAGTTACGTATAATTTAGTTATGAAGTTATCTTTGTAGTCAAAATGAAATTAAAGCTACAAAATGAATAATATAATTGCACTGTTAATGAAAAACTATAACATTGACAAATTGTTAATTATCATGCGATTTATTTCAATGATATTCAAATTTTATTACAAATTGACTCATGAACAGTTTTGGTAGCGCGAAAAAAATTGCACGTGCTACTGTCATACTCTTTTAAAATTTTCATGATATCTCGTTAATATGTTTGCTGGTCGACAGTATTTTCTTTCCATAAATTTAAATTCAAATCGGGCAGATTCCTACATTTCTTCAGTTTTCTATAAGTAGACAATATTAAAGATTATCATACATGTACATTTTGAATATATTGAACTTTCACCTTGTGTAATAGTCATTTCTCATGTTTAATCTTGTGCAAAATTTCTATTCATAAGATTTCTAATTTCCCAAATTTGAGCGGTTTTAATATAACATGTAGACAGTAAGTTACATACTTTTTCGTTAGGATAAATTTGTTGATTTCGCTAGAATCTGTCTCAGAATTTCGGATTGGTGTAAACACTTTGTGTTCAGTTAATATCTTCACCCGCATAAGATACGTTAAGCATTCCTGCCTTTTATGATTATATCGAAATTAATCAAACTATACGTGTTTGATACATTTTTTTCTGCATTTGTGCATTGTGAATAAACTCATCATAGATACCAGGATTAAAATTTTGTATTTGCGCCAAATATGCCTCTCATTATAACATTTATATTTCAAATTTGATCTGTTTGGCGTACCACTTGACTGTATGTATATATTTCAGCTACTGGTTGGATTTGTTTCACCTTTAACGGTGTACTACGACTGTTATTTTAAAGCAGTAGGTACTTTTCATGTCTAGTTTAAGTTATATTTATCTTACAATGACACCTTACGTTAAATATTAACGAGGAAAGACGATACAAAGCAAGCAATCAAATTTCATAGAAAAGACAGAAAATACTGTAATAAATGTCATACAACAATAGAATTTGACCTACCGATTTAGACTGATCACCGGATTTGTACTACAATGATCAACGCGACGGACGCCATGTGGTGAGCAGGGCCTGCATACCCTTCCGGAGTATATGAGATCATCCCCGGTTTTCGATTGGGTTCGTGTTGCTCATTCTTTACTTTTCTATGTTGTGTTTTTTTGTACTTTTGTTTGCTTTTTCTTTTGGGTTTTTTTGTTGTTATGTTTTTGCCATGGCATTGGCAGTTTATTTTTGATTTGAATTTCTGTAGTATTGTTTCTCTTTCTTTATAAAGATTGAAAGAACGAAACAAAGTAAACCATCAAATAAATGTGCATGGAACAAACTAAAATGAGGTATTCATGTAGTGCAAGTAGTTTTTGATTTGCCCTTTGATTCACTTGCTTTGTAAACATAAAGTTAATCCGTCAAATGTGTTTGTATGATTTCGAATTCCATACTGAGTTATGTTGGAATTATGACTATTGGAATATTATAAAGTTTACTTTATTCGTAATTTACCTTTTGTTTTTGGGTTGGACGAAAGCCTCCTTTTGAATGCGATCCAATTCAAGGTTTTCACAGAGCACTTTGGACATTGTTATCTCTTTGATTGAATTTAGCTGTGCTGAAAGAAAAATCAACATACTTGTCATTATAGTTATACAACAAATGACATGAGTGGCGTAAATATATATTATAGATGATTTTATTTTTTTGTCTGTATGACTATCGCACCACCCACGGTATATAACTGGTTGACAATGCAGATTATTTGATTCGTTCGGGCCTACTGATATTGTTTAAATAAACCCATCAGAGATACCAGGATTGACATTTTGTATTTGCGCCAGACGCACGTTTCGTGTACAAAACACTCATCAGTGACGCTCGTATCAAAAAAGGTTTAAGAGGCCAAATAAAGTACGAAGTTGTAGAGCATTGAGGACCAAAAATTCCTAAAAGTTTTTGCCAAATACAGCTTGGGTAAACGTACCTTCCATTTTATTTCGGATAAGTTGACTAAATTGACAAAAATTAAACACCTTAGAAGAATTTAAGAGTTACTAAAATCACGGATAATTCTATAAGAAGATGAGGTATGATAGTCAATGTGACAATTATCCACTCAAGATCAAACGAAGTTGATGTAAGCAATAATAAGCAACTATACGGGCTTCAACAATGAGAAAAACCCATACCGTATCACATGTATTATCCTTGTTTTAACTGCTTTATATATATTATCGTGACTGCTAATGATTCTCCATCGGATTTGTGGTGTTAACAAACATATTCATTTCGTGTTGTGTAAAGCATGCATGTATCTTCACTTTTTTTTATAAAAGTAAAATACAATTAGAAATATCACTGTTGTTAAGTATAGTAACGTATCATCTATTTTAAAGTATGAACGAAAGACATAGCGGCGTATTTACTATTTACCCCAACATATATCAGTACCAAAAAAACCTTACATCTTTAAAAGTAAACTTTCTAGATCTCCCTTTCCATGCTTTTCATTGCTTTCAACAGTTCCTTATTTTATCTTATTTACCCGCATCTGTTCATCTATGGGTTGATTAATTTAAGATTCATTTAAGAATTGAATGCTTCTTTTTGTAAATTTATGGGGGTAGGGAGTTATGAGTCAGAAGTTTTTTTCGCTCAAAGCGAACATTTCTTAAAATTTATCACTTTAAGGTATGGGTGCACTTCATATGTGTCGATCATATATATCTCAACATACACCGATAAGATTGAACACAAATCCATGTGATTAAACCATAATTACACTTCAACACACACATTGAACAAAAATCCATATGATTGGACCATACTAGTAATTATATTTTAACATACTCATATTAAACACAGATCCACATGATTCTACCATGACTATAAATCAACACACACATACTGAACATAGATCCATATCATTCGATCATAATCCTATTCAAACATACACACATTTAACACAAATCCATATTGAATACAATAAGCCTCATACCTTTTGTGAAGCCAAAATCTGAGTCTCTCCTCTCATACCAATATCTATCTCCGCATTTTGTCAGATAAAATTGTTTACCAATCAAACATGCAAATGTTTCTCCAACACGTCCTTTCTTGGACTTCTCTAGAAGTCCACCGACATACAGATCGACATCGTCAGCAGAACTTAACAATGAAAATTAAAAAAAAAAACCGTTGAAATAAAAAATAAAAAAAAGGATATGAATCATCATCGTTTTAAATAGGACCAACAAAACATATGCCATTAGTGATACATCAAATGTTTACCTTTCCGGAGCATCTGGTTTCAATTTCAGTTTTGAAATGGTTCAAGATACACGAACCTTGGTTTTCTGTGTAGTGTTTCGTGGACTGTTGTGCCACTTTTCGTCGTTTTTCTTTTGGCTTCTGATTTTTGCAGTTTGTTGTTCTACCTATGATTTTTATTTTTACACTATTTATTTATGTAAACAACGAAATACAAGATTTAATAAAATAACCTATTGAGACATATTCGAGTGACGAATGAATACACTTGCTGAAAAACATTCAAATAACGAAATTAATTGTTGCATCATGATGGAAATTATATTAATTGTCAGTTGTGTTTGACGAAATAACAGAACTACAATAAAACGTTATAGAAAGATAACCCCAAACTGATATGAAAAAGACGTAAAAAACAAGCAGGAAAAGAACATTTCCACATAAAATGAGAAAACTTGGAAATATAAAATGTACTTGTTTTTTTTTTAATATATGTTCCAGCAAATAATTAAACACATTAACAGTCGATATTGTATGAATTCCGTTTAGACAAGCATCAACCAAATACCAAATACAATGATGTTAATAGCTTAAGAGCACCGTAAAACTCATCATCGTGTTTGTAGATATTGAAACAAATCCCAAAAAACTCCTGCCCCTTTAATAGCAGACCTTTTGTTTTGTAATGAAACCAATCATATGGCAAAACGGAATAAAGATTCCATTCCAACTAAAAGTCCTCCCTCAGAGGAACATATTAACAAAAGCAAAAGGAAATCAACCTCCAATTCAAATTGCCGAAGCAAGGTTGTCGGCTGTTGAAACTTTTCCGAATTCCTGCGTTGGTCCCGAGTGTATATTTTATCTTTCATTGTTATCATTTTTATCGATTATTTCAATTCGTCAATAACGTTACATTTCTCTCATGTAATTACTTACGCATATAATTCTTTGAGGACATTTTCAACATCGTTAGGAACTTTAAAGTTTTTAAAATTCAGCCTTTCCAGTCCACAAAATTCCCTCCAGTCGTTATAGCTTGGTGTGCCCTGATCTCGCCCCCTTTGTATGTTAATGGACAATAAATCTGTATCTCCACCAAACAGCTTGTTACGCATTGCATTCACTCCAAAACTGTAATTGAAAATATTATATTGATTGATTGATTGAGTTTTTGTACTTTAACACCGCTTACAGCAGTGTGCGCTTTTCGTGGCGACCGGTTTTTATCAGTTGAGTAAGCCGGAGTGCCCTAAGACCCTAAGATAACCATCGACTTTCTGCAGGAAAACTGGCAATTCAAGTCAATGAAGAATGGAGTCAAACACCTGAAATGTGCGGGGCTAGAGCTCACAACCTAATTGTTGACAGGCTGGTGATCGCAGTAGTTTAAATACTTATACCACTTGGAAAATATTATATTCAATAGGGGACATATTTTTGAAAGAGGTAGAAATAGTAAGAAATTACGGGAAATCATATGCATGCTTTCAAGGAACTTGTCTATTTCAATGATGTTATTCCGTATCTATAAAACATTTTCACCTCCATTATGAAAATTATCCCCTCCCCTTTCAACATGGCTGCAATAACCACGAAAGAGCCTATTTAACAAAGAGTTCTTACCTGTCAATTCTATTAGCTGGTTTAAAGGTTAACCATCGTATGAAATCTTCAACATTTTCGCCCATATTTGTTTGAATTAGATGTGGAGCCCTAAAGTTGTCAGCAAGAAGTTCAGTAGTGATAGTTTTGTAATCATCTTCAAGCAATGACTGCTCCCTCATCGCTTGGGAATGTCCCATTCGAAAGGGTGCTACTGCAAAAGCGTTCCTTACAGAGGCATCAATTTTATCATTATAACAGTCATCAAATCCATTTTTTGGGGTTTAAGCTTGTACTTTTTCATAGTTTGTGGAGATAGAATGGCAGGTAGGTACTCTTTATATGTTATGTGCTGCAATTCCGCTATGACTATTCTTCGTGTTTCTTCGAAAACTCTATCATTTCCCCATTCTGAATTGATTTGTTTCAGTAATTTAGCGATCCTGTTATGTTCCCTTACAAGAACAAGATGGTTTAATTGGAGACTAGGTGCCTGGTCAGTCCTTGAATCTCCTACATTGAAACAAATAAATAAGATGAAACTTTAAAAAACACCTAGTTAAGTTTATTTTGTAATTTCACAGTCTCTCATGAACAAACAAAATTTTTTTTTATTGTCATGACGATAACAAATACTATTTTTAACAAAATTTTTTTTGATAAATTGCAGTTTTTCAACCTATTTCTATTAGAAAAAAATTATTGATTTATGAACCCTTACACTTATATCTAATAACCAACCGTTTTACTTGAGGGTTTGGATGAGGGGTCTTTCACTTTGTTATTAAATTTTGATGGTATTTTTACTTGTCTTTAAAAATAATGCTTATTCTTTTAAAATTCTCATGAAAATGATTTAACCGTTTTTTTTCTGCAATTATTTGATTTCTTTATTCGAGTTATTCTGTACATCATTCATTTCTGTAATCAGTATTGTATAACCTAATTCTTATATTTCCAAATTTGTTTTTTTTAAATTTTTTTGGACACCCTTTATTCCGTATTCTTTATTGTTTTGCTCATTTTCTCTATTCTTTATATTATTTGGTCTTTATTCTCTATTCTGTAAACTTAAACCAGACCCTCTTACTTCTGGTGTGTTAATTATTACGTCACCAAAAGCATATTTTGCCCCACTATTGTAAAATTTAGGCATGGACACGTACAACAAAACGCATTTCGTATAGAGGCGAACTAAAGATCACTGGAAGAAACAAAATCTAAACAATTACACCCTACTTCAACCAATTTCTTCTGATGAAATGATATGTGATAACACAATCATTCGATATGAAAAAACATAACATTTCATTTTGGAATACTATTTATTTCCTTACCCGTTAATTGGCAAAAATCAGCTACTGGGTCTATCTTTACGCAAGATCCATTTACGTTCTCAGGTAAATTATTTCCAGGAGAAGTTTTTAAAAGTGCTGAAAATAAAAAAAGTAGTATATGTACCAGCTTCTATTTTCCTTTTGTCAACCTATTGAATACATTTGTTACTAAAAAAATCATTTATATCACGAAATACTAAGGATTTTCAACTCCAAGGAATATATTACTGTAGCTATATTTGGCAACACCTTTTGTAATTTTGGGTCCTCAATGCTCTTCATCTTCGCTAGCAAAGGGTAACGATCCGACCCGTTCCTCTTCAACTTAGGCGGATTAAGTAAGAATTTGTGATCAATGACGAAATGATTTCCATTGGACAAAGTTGTACCTAGCGGCATTCAATCAAATTGTCCTTAAAAATGGTAAATGTGTAAATAAAAAAAACATGTAACAATAAACAGTTGTTATGTGCAGATTGTGCAAATGGTCTTCATCCCCAAAACATTGAGCGGTATTTAGTGTCAGCTTTGAAGTTCTTAAACAACTTATTGAAAGTTCTTGAGTATTTTCGTCGTGCAGATGTTTGAATGCCGGTGTATATATGAGGTTTCTGTTTAACGAAATCTGTAAACACTGGACACTTTTTAACACCTCCGAACTAAAGAGTACAAGTGGTGTTATTGGTCAATGATGATGTAGTCTACGTGGGCGTGACGTCATCTCTCACTACATTGCATTACGCTGTATACACAGATACTGTCTTAATCTGCAAAGGGTGAAGAGGATCGGGTCGGGTCGAAACTCTTGGCTAACGAAGATAAATGCTCTTCATTTTCGTACTTTATTTGGCCTTTTAATTCTTTGGATTTGATCGTCACTAATGAGTTTTTTTCTAGACGAAACTCACTTTTGGCGTTCAACATGTGTAAGCCTGTATCTATGTTAAGTGGAATTATATTGCATAGAATCTTTTTGTTTTGTTGAAGAACATAATTATGTTGACATGCAGATATTTATAGACATATTCCACGCTCATTTAACGCTTTGGGCGCATGCTATTTATGAAACATTTAATTCATATTTATACTGAATAGCGTAGGAAACGAGATATGAGAATCCATACATTATTCTTTTTTTCATGAGTGACAGAATTAGGCGGCCACATTTAGACAAGTACCATCATTTATGCATGTTAAGTTCTGTACTTTTAAAAACTTACATGAATCCGTAGTATCTCTAAGGGTTGCTAACTGTGCATCAGAACTACCATATACATGGCTGCAATCAATGTATGATGTCACATCGTTGATCTGTTCTCTATAATCTGAAATGAAAGGAGAAATCACGCTTATACGGAAGAGAATTGCATACCAAATACATTTTAGTTTCATACACACAGATATTTACACAGGAAAAGCAGACGTATTTGTTGGATATTCTTAAGTGCGTGGATTAGGTGAGCATTCACCATTTAAAGGCACAAACAATCACTTGTTTCCAATGTTATTTTTAGCATGTGTAAGGCGACAGTTGTTTACCGATGTACAAATCCTGTAATTCGATTAAGAAGTGACAAATTTAAGGCCAAACAAAAATAACCTAGAGAATCGCATGAACTGAAAAGGGAACAAAACCGTGGTATGCGTATATTGGGCATGGCCAAAATAAGAAAAACATTTTCATTAAGATGAGCAATAAAGCTTTCAAATTTTAACTTAAACCTTAATTTAATTATGTTGAACCAGTTATACCAACTACATATGAAATGACTCTATCAAAGTAACGTTGTCAGTTTGTCGATATCACAATAGCAAAACATTTCTATTAACAATAAAATACTACGGAATTGACAATAGGTTTCGTCACACAATAATGTGGACTAAGGGCGCATGTTCTACGGAATTTACCATAGGCTTCATCCCCCATTTTTTCCCCATAAAGCACTGGCTCAATACCACTGCTACTGGACTATCAGTCCCTTCCCGAGAGTATCATCAGCACAGTCATAAAAATTATCAAGAACTAAAGTTTAAACTGACTCACGCAAGTTGACCTCAGATGGATTAGGCTTTTTTTTAAGACCCTTTTTGGTAATATATCTCATATATAACTGTTTAGGTTCATATACATCCTTGACTTCCAAATATTCGGGTTCGAGTGTTCCTGATGAATGTATATTCAGAAAAGCGCTTTGAACGCAGTGAATTTATAAAGTGTTGTTTTTAATTTTTGTATACAAACCTTGGCTCAGTATATGAAAATAATATTTATAGAAAAGTAAACAATTTAAAATTTGTTAAAATGAAAACAAAAGAATAATTATGTGGTTACGAATGGCACTTTAAGCAGTAGTTTCATTCAAAAAGCTCTTAATGGCAAGGCACTGTTGACTCTTTGTCTGCCTGTGTTTAGTTTCTTTTTTTGATTTTGCTTTCTGTTTTGAATAACTTCGATTTTCTTTAGATGAAGTCTTGTGCAGAAATATTGCAAATATGTTACTTGTTATATCGGGGGATCTTTCAGTCCTTTGAAAACTTCTGCATCCAGGGGTAAAATCTTTGTCGTCAGCAGGTATATCAAACGGGAAACATACATCGATGCTTTATAAAAAACAAATAAAATAACACATGGTTTGATTAACAGTACAATAAATAAACTCATCATAGATACCAGGATTGACTTTTGTATTTGCGCCAGACGCTCGTTTCGACTAAAAAAGACTCATTAGTGACGATCGAATCAAAAAGAGTTAAAAAAGCCAAATAAAGTTGAAGAGCAAAACACATTTACAATTAAAACGACTTCATACATACGTATGATTTATCATGTATAATGAAAAATTCAAATATCGATTGGGTAATTATGCTTAAATTAATGCTATTTTTTCTCTAAATTTGTATGCCATTATTCTCTATCTCTATAATATATATTTTAGCATCCCATTACTAGGTCTTTCTACTTTTCCGTGGAAAGACATTTTGCTTTTGCGTTTGTTCTGATAATTAGGTTTATCCATTTTTCTGTGCTTTTGTTCAGATTATTATAATCATTAAATTATTTAGAACTGTTTTGGTGTTTCAAATTATGTTGCCTACATATTTGATATATGATATTGAACAGTAAATGCGCTTTTGAAACTGGCACCACCTAACCAAACACATTTTTGTAAGATTCGTTCCCTCGAACACTTTTTGTAAGAGTCGTCTTTTTGACCGACGCTTTCTGGAGACTCCATATGAGAGGTATTTACCCTTCTGTATTTGAAATAAGTGAAATGAAATTGTAACCGGTAAACCAGAAGTTATAGAGGCATATAGTCCTTGGTCCACGGTAAAGAATGTAAGGTTACAGTTCGAGGTCATGTTCAAAATTTTGATTTCAACCTATCATATGAAACCAGAAGTGACATTTTTTAAGTAGCAATCATATCCTTATTTTAAGCAAAAGTTAAAAGAAACCATATATTTTTGGAATCAGCTTCAAGAAAGCTATTGTCTGATACTAGAAATGACATTTTAAACCCTATTTATTATCTTCACATCATAATATGTGCATTTTAAAGGAAAAGACCGTCATTTGTTCTCTGAACATTTGGTTTTTATTTAGTTTTTTTCAGCGTGATTGTTTTCTTTTTTGCTATTTTGTTGTTAAGCAAGATATCGCTTTGATATTTGGTGTATGGTATCGAACAGTTATACGCTTATGTAACTGACACCGCTTAGCCAAATAATTTTCTTTGTAAGAGTTATATCCCCAAACATTGTTTTCTTGTTATTTCTAATACGTCACATCTATAGAAGAAACAGACTAACCCATTTTTTTAAAATTGCTCGTTATACCCTAAAGATGTTCTGTTTAATTTTGTCTAAATCAGTATAGAGATTGGTTTTTAATTATATATTCAGTTGTTATTATTTGCCTATTTGCTCGTTATTCTCTATTTTTCGACCAATATTTTTTATTGTGTAAACTCATATCAAATTCTAACCATCTGTATGTGTTTTCTACTTACTCATTATTTTCACAGCATTTCAGATCTGAAATTTTAGATGAATGAATTAATGAATAAATAAATGAAGTATATACAGTGTGTGTCAAGGTAGAATGTTTACCACAACGGAATCTACATGTTAACATTGTAAAAAAAAAAAAGATACTATTATAATAAAATTAAAATTGACGTTCATACCGCAGTTTTGGTGTGAACATACCATGCAAATTTTAACAAAATTTTCCGACAGACATTTTAGGTAAATTTCAGCGGTCTGCCCGTTTTCCTTTATATGATACCTTTAGAACTATTCAACCGAAACTTTTCAAATCTTAGTTTGTTGGTTGAACTTTTATCATGATTTGTTTTAACACCAAATAGAAATATTTTAAGAACATTTCCTACATTTGTGATTTTTTTTTCATTTATTAAATTCAAGTTAAACTTCTACGGTGAATGAAGCTATTTATGATAAGTATATCCCTACTGTAAAAGTTTTTAATTATGATAATACCACGTTCATTCGTTTAAAAATTTCATTGCATAAAACTGTAGGAAAAAAATTGAAAAAAATTCCCCATATAAGAAGAAGGCAACTGAAAAATCAAGACCAAAGAAAGAGAAAGACGTGCTATTTATTATGAAATTTTGTATGAAACTCCTATTAACATCTATATATCAAGGTTTTAAAAAGGACATAAGTATAAAATACATATATATGTTAAATATAATAAATTATCTGTGGCAGTTGTCGTCCGATATTTTGGTTTACACATACCTCTCTTTACTTGTGTCTTTATTAAATCATGGGTAAGTGCTTGTCCAAAAGCAAAATGCTGACCAGACAGTGTCGGAGACGCTTGGTCGTTAGGTCCTAATTCGTCTGCCATTAGTTTGTTGCTTATCAGTCTAGGGCTTGGTAAATTACTTGGAAATCCACCTCTTGGACTATTATCTTCTGCAATGGAGTCTAAACGTATTACACTTATTATATAAAATCGGAACGTATTACACTTAAATCGACGGTATTACCCTTAAATCGATACGAATTACACTTAAGTCGGAACATATTACACTTAAATCGATACATATTTCACTTAAATCGGTACGTATAACATTTAAATCGATATGTATTTCACTTTAATCACAACATACAGGTTGATATACATGTTAAATAAATTGTTCATGCATTTATCGTAGAATATGATTTCTTTGTCTAACCTGCGGGAAAATATTTATCAACCACTTAAATTTGTGAATGATTCAGCAGACTTTAAAATTCTTAAAAGAATTCTAAAATTTTCAAAACAAATTGTTTATCACCTAATTTGTGTAAAAAAAGAATGTTTCGTGCGTGGAATATTTTTTTAATCGTCTTGCATTCACATTAAATGTGTGAATGTGTACAAAACCGTTATATTGGTGTAACGTGTGCTTCTTTTGTTGAATGAGTAAAATAAGAGCTTGAAAAAACGCGCGTGAGGTGCAAATACACTATTTCAATCCTGGTATCAATGATGAGTTTATTTACAGTATTCAAGTCATGTTACTTACCATCGTAATCAATAATGAGATTTCCATTATATTCAAGTCATGTGACTTACCATTGTAATCAATCCTGAGATCACCATTATAATCAAGTCCTTTGACTTACCATCGTAATCAATCATGAGATCACCATTATATTCAAGTCATGTGACTTACCATCGTAATCAATCATGAGGTCACCATTATATTAAAGTCATGTGACTTACCATCGTAATCAATCATGAGATCACCATTTTATTCAAGTCATGTGACTTACCATCGTAATCAATAATGAGATCATCATTATATTCAAGTTATGTGACTTACTATCGTAATCAATAATGAGATTTTCATTATATTCAAGTCATGTGTTTTACCATCGTAATCAATCATGATTTTTCCATTATTTTCAAGTCATGTGACTTACCATCGTAATCAATAATGAGATTTCCATTATATTCAAGTCATGTGACTTACCATCGTAATCAATCATGAGATCACCATTATGATCAAACCGTCTTTGTGCCGTATTTGCTTTCCCCCATGATGGGTAGATCAGGTTATTACACGATCCGTCATACGTCCTATATTTGGCATTAGTGGGACAGGATGCGTGTACTGGAAGAAAATAACAAAACAAACTCCCAAACATCTGTTTTAAAAGAAACTTAAAAATGCACAAATACATGAAATAATTATCAAAAGGTACCAGGTTTATAATTTGATACGCCAGATGCGCGTTTCATCTACATAAGATTCATAAGTGACGCTCACAAAAACGACAAATAATTGAACACACAAGAGGCATCAATACCTGATTGCTATGTTATTAGATCCAAATGGGTGGAGTCTGTCGGTTGAAAGGAAATTTCGAATACATTGTCTAAATGGCTTATTTTGAGATAATCGTTGTGTTCAAGTCGTCTTTGCATTGTGGTGTGATACATTTACCCGTCATGGGTTGAATATGTTGAAAGAAACACACAAAATGACATAGATTTTAACTCATAAGAAGTTTGAATATGTTTTTGCAGCTTTATTATTAATTCCAAGTGGTGCTTAAAAAAAATTCGTAGCATAATGGTATTTTTTCTTTGTTCTTCGATTGAGTAAACCAGTTATTCTACATATTTTAGAGGAGTTCATTTATTGAATTGATTTTTGTTAGAGCATTATCCAAGCCCGCTTCTAATAGGAAAATAGAAAAGAATAGGAGGATTCTAAACCAGGGTATTAACTTTCATCTCAGAAGCGGCTATGCGCTGTATTGATCCGCTTCATTGAACTGGTGAACAATGAACGAAAACAAACCCAACAAAACGTTACAGTAATAAAAATTCAAACTCCTTAACCTAGCTCTAAATTAAATCCTGACTCTGTAAACTTGAAGAAAATGAACATTCGAGGGGAGCAGGATCTTCAGGAATTTTCTCCATTTCACAAAGTTCGTTTCTTGTGAATTAGGCATGCTCTAAAAATATTTGTCGCTGGGTGAGCAATCTTAGCTGACATTATAGGTTAATGTGTTAATAGGTCCAGCAGCCAAAACTGTGTAAACATACACTACAGACATACAACACATCTGACAAAAATACAAACAAAAATATATACCAATAAAGCTAAAAAAAAAAACCTTAACAAAAAATGTATTATTTTAGTTGATAGTAAATTTGACAAAGACGCCCACAAATGTTTTTTTTTGTAGTCGATCATTCATACAGTATATAATATACACTTTTTCTGTAAAGTATGAATTAAATAAAACATAAATACAAGGGTAAAGAAAATGAAAGCAACGCTGTTAAAACCTCTCTAGTACGAATTGCGCATAAAAAGACCCACTTGCACCAGGACAGCACACAGCACCAAAACCCAATTGCTCCATCCAAGTCACAATTTGTAAAAGTAAACCATTATTGGTCAAAGTACGGTCTTCAACCCGGAGCCTTGGATCAAACCGAACAGCAAGCTATAAAGGGTTAAAACAATTACTAGTGTATAACCATTCAAACAGAAAAACCAACGGTCTAATCTATATAAAAAAACGAGAAACGAGAAAACACTTATGAACCACATCAACAAACGACAACTACTGAACATCAGACTCCTGACTTAAGACAGGTGCAAACAAATGCAGCGGGTTTAAAAGTTTTAATAGGAACAAACCTTCATCCTTATATGAACAAATATCGTTACATCACAAAATAGAAAGCCTATCTTATATTTTTAGTGAAGTCGACCCTGGCATAATTTCTTACCTTGAAAAATAACATTGTAAAACAGCCACGAAAACACAAGAAAAGTCAAACTCCCCATCATTTAAGTTACAACGTCAAATGATGGTGTTACATTAAAAGATCATGATTATATATGCAATATATATGCAACATTCAATAAAATTACCTAATTTGAATAAGCATTCTGATTGGGTGTTACAGCGCTTGAAACATAACATCCTCTTATATTCATCATAATGTATCTTGGAAAAATCAACATGAAATTTACATCATGTATGAATAATTCGTAATTTTTCCAATGATTACAAAAAGAAAATTAGACATTAAGGAGGGGACGGTTAGTTGATTTTAAATTTAGTCTTATTTATGATTTATTTAAATGACGATTTTGAAACACTCATCAAAAGTCGATTAGATACATAATATCCTGTTCGTTAATTGCATCAATCCATCGACAGTTCTTTTTTTTTAGTTCATAAATTCTTTATATTATCATGATAATTGTATCATCATAAGTGTAAATATTAGGGACTTTCTGTTTTGAAATTTCCCCGGTGTTCAGTATTTTCGGGATTTAATTTTTTTCATATATGTTTTATAAAATTGTGAAATGAATTTGTCTATGGGTAGATCAGACGTTTTTTTTCAACGAAATTAAATCACTATATATTGCTCCTGTGAAATATCAGAAAATGTTAATATTTGTCGTCTTTTTATTCCATATTATAAGTAACACAGTGTTATAGTAGCCCTATACGATTTATTATGAGCCATTTAATTTTATTTGGAATGAGAGCGAGCGGTGGTGGAGCTTCTAACTATTGAGAAAGTGTTTGTAAAGTAACTTTACGGGTATGAATATTATTATGCGTTTTGTTGATTTATTAACTTAAAGTACAGTTATAGCATTTCATTCTTTGCAGTCAGGATTTACTTCGTCAAAGTTATCTTGCCATCACGCCAATAATTTTTAAGTGCGATTGCTCACATGACGGTTGTGTTTAGAAAAAAAATATATCTACTTGCCATTAAGCATAATTTAGTATACTTTTTGGTCAGCTTAAAACTATTGCCTGATCGGTTAACGGGAGAAATTTATGAAACGTACAAAAAAAAATATCTGATTAAATAATAATTCGCGGAAGGGCAGACTACAATTTGTTAGAGGTTGAAGACACAAGTCGTTAAGTGGTTTTAGTAAAAAAATGTTATTCGAACACACCTTCTCTGGTGTTTTGACATCTTCATTAGAAAGTTTTTACTTGACCTTTATATATCATTT